AGGTGGGGGTGAGGGGTAGGGAGGGAGGGAGGGACCCAGGGAGCAGGTGGGAAGAGGGGGGGAGGTGGGGTATTTTGATTGACAGATAGTATTTGGGTAAGTATATTTTGTTTATTTATTGAAGATATTTGTTTTAGCTCATAAAATTCATACAAATTACCCGACCAGAATATAATTTACATTGCTGGAATTCTTACAATTTGATGATCATTTTGAATATAAACATCATAGATTTTGCATTAGACATACAAATTTTAGATCTACTTTAAGTATTTTGTTTACTCTGACCAAATATGTTATCTTTGTGCAAAATATATGAGGTGTATATTCAAAATATTCCAGGTCTTGCAAGGAATCCAGCAATGTGAGCTATATTATCCTAACTTTAGTCTGAGGTATTATTTATTACTAAAAAGATAAATATTCTGTTTTCTCCCAAACATTTCTCTGGTAGGGAGGGAAGGTTGGGGTGGGGGGGAGGGAGGGACCCACAATCCCAGCTGGCGTGGTGGGAAGAGGGGGGGGAGGGTATTTTGATTGACAGATAGTGTCGTGAAGAATATTTTTTTTTTTATTAATTGAAGATATTTCTTTTAGCTCATAAAATTCATACAAATTACCCGGCCAGAATATAATTTACATTGCTGGAATTCTTACAATTTGATGATCATTTTGAATATAAACATCATAGATTTAGCATTAGACAAAAATTTTAGATCTAGTGTAAGTATTTTGTTTACTCTGAGTAAATATGTTATCTTTTGTGCAAAATATATGACATTTATATTCAAAATATTCCTGGTCTTGCAAGGAATCCAGCAATGTCAATTATATTATCCTAACTTTAGTTTGAGGTATTATTTATTACAATACCTTAAAATCTAGTTTTTTCCCCCAAACATTTCTCAGAGAGTAGAGTGTGAGAAGAGGGGGAGGGCGAGTTGAGTCTATTATTTGAATGGACATTAACTTGGCAACTGTATTTCTCTATTTCTCTTAAATATTAATTGTGGGCGTGTACCATCATAAAATTAAGATGTTATTTTTACTAAAACATAGGTATTGTGTCGGGAAAAAGTGGAGTTTGGGGGTCGGCCCGGTCTCTATTTCAATTAATCTCATATGTTATGTTGTTCACTTTACGCGTTTCTCGCTTTACATGGGCCTCCGTGGGTTCAATTGACCGCGTAAAGTGTGGGTTCACTATATATATCATGTAGATTCACAATGGAATCATGGACAAGATAAATCTCGATAAAACCACACAGGAAAAGGGAAACACTGGAACACCTTAGCTTTTGCCTTTATTCAAGACAGTCAGGATATCTATATCAGTGTTTCGAATGAGCAGCGAATGGTAGTCCTCTTTTCAGCGGATGAGCAGAGAGGGGCTGCTACAAAAGTGATTGGCCCATAAAATGCTTTGGTGGAATAAAAAACTTTGCGCATATTGTGTCGATCTGCAGTTTTTTTGCATTTCATTTTTAAAAGTCTTTCTCTAGATTGCGAAGTTTGTGCTGGGCTACCGCTTTCTTTTTGCGAAAGGTATCAGCTTTGGTTCAAGAGTGAGGGTTGTTCTGCCAGTCAGTTAAAGCAGCACGTTTCTCATTGACGAGTACATTGATTTCTGGGTCATTTTCATCCAGTATATTCTTTCGACCTGGCCAAGGGTCTCTCTGCAGGATTTTGTCACGAGTGTCGAGAATACTCCATTCGATGCTGGGATTTGGGTTGTTTGTTGTCAGGTTGTTTATCAGCTCATATTTGAGCTGCTCTCTGAAGTCATTTGCTACCGTTGGAACCTCCAGACACTAGTGTTAAAACCTCTTCTGGAGGCTTGTTGCGTTCGCTGTTTTGGGGCGACATGAAGTGAGAGCTTGGCTCTTATGTGCCGATGATCAGTGTCACAGTGGTCTGAACCACCCATGGCCTGCGTGATAAGGACATTTTGGCAATCTCTTTCTCTGAGAATAATGTAGTCAATTAGATGCCAGTGTTTGGATCATGGGTTTTGCCACAAACCCTTGAATTTGACAGCCTGCCTAAACAAGGTATTGGTGATAGTGGGGCTGTGTGCAGCACACAAGGAGGATTAGGCCTTTGAGATTACACTTGCCCAGTCCACTTCTCCCTATGATTCCCTGCCAAATGTCAGTACACCTACTAACTCTGGCATTGAAGTCACCTAGGAGCACAACCTTATCTTCTCTGAAGATAGAGGTTAGCACTCTGTCAAGGTCGGCATAAAAGGCCTCCTTGATAACATCCTCTGCATCCAGTGTTGGGGTGTATGCAGTGATGAAGGAATGACAAGAGTGATTCAGTGGGACTCAGAGCATCATGAGGTGTTTGCTGATCCCCATAGGCATTTCAGTTAGCCTGTGTAGGATGCGTTGGTGGATGGCAAAGCCGATCCATAAATGCAGTTTCTCTCCGCAGAAGGCTTACCCCTTCCAGAAGAAGGTATAGCCAGACCTCCGGTCTGTGAGTTGGCCCTCATCTGGGAACCGGGACTCGCTAATGGCTGCTATGTCGATGTTATACCTAGCCAGCTTGATTACCACAAGGGCGGTTCTTCTTTCCGGATGCTCATTTGTGCCATAAGAGGTTGTATAGTTTGTTTTTTGTTTTGATCTGTGATTATGATTATGTTTTCGACCACATAAGCATGACCTTACTGGGTGCGGTTGCCCAGTCAGGTTGGTTGTTTAGGCAGTCTATGTTTAGGGCACCTTTTCTAGCCCCCCCATGTGGGGTGAGCAAAGTGGCTCCTCGAGAAGGTTGCTCAGTTGCATAGACAGGACTGGATTGCACTGCTGCCTAGATCCCAATCCATAAACGACCATCTTATCTGTGTTGCCCATGTGCAGAGTTGCAACTAGAGACTCTCGGGAGTCATCTCTGCCTGTCCCCGTTGCCATAGGACTTTTGGGGGTATAGGGATTTTGATTATGAGAAGTATGATGAGCCAGATGATGGCTGGGCATGACTTGATTTATGTGGTGAGGCAGGAGTGCAGGCTGCAACCACACATCTTGGCTCTCCCTTTTCCTGATCCAGTGGAGCAAGCGTTGCAACGACTGGGGAGAGAAAGTTGCAATGGATTGCCGATAGCCCAGTTTCTCGGGTTTACCCTTAGTAGCCTGTCCATCATGCATTGCCTTCATCTTCTGGTGTAGTCGTTGGGTTCCCATGTTGGTCACCTCTTCTGCTGTTGGGGTCTTGTTGGAGCTCTGTAAGCATGTCTGCCTGATGCAGGGCTCCACTGCAGGTTTTTCGTTCGGGGTTTACTCCCGTAGCCTTATACCTACCAAGGTTAATCGGCAAGGCAGCTGGGCAGTGGTTGGTAGGTGCCAGGATGTGTCCACGTGCCAGTGGGCTTATGTGCCATCCCTCTGGGGCCCACGGCTGCTCTAGCCTAGGCACACGAGGCACCCAGTTACCATGAGGAGGCACAGGAGGAGTCTTGATGGTGAAGAGGCTGTGTACTGGCCGGCGAAGACTTATGCAAGTTGCTTCCCTGTTCACCACGAGGGCTAGCCAGCGGTGGTAGCTGAAAGCGAGAGGGAGCAAGCAGTGCTTGAACCTTAACATAACATAATGCTGCCACACTAGATGCATTACACCACCGTGTGCACACTCACACACTTCCATGTACCTAACATCTGTGTTGCACCCAATCCTGATACACTTCACACTATACAATAGCTATAGACAGGTACCTGCCCCTTGACTCAGGCAGCAAAGTGTCGCACCTGCTCGCCCTTGTCCTGAACCAGAGAACCCAGCTGCATACTGTTCACCATCTTGTTATTTTCTCTCAATGCCAGTTTTCTGATTTCACAAAGGAAGTGGGTTTCATCCTTGGTGGAGAACCCCCCCCAGGTTCCTATGGAGGTTTCTGAGAAGAGCCTCCTCACAGTACTCCAGAAGCTGCACCGCAACCATGTCCCCAGTCAGGTCAGTAACGGACTTGTAGGTGGCCCATTGGCCCAGGTCACATGACCTTCTGAGGTTCGGTTCTTCCTGTCATGGTCACGAATGGCACTGTAGTGGTTGTTGCTGGCGGGTGCATGTTTGCCTGGTGCATCTAAACCACTTGGATGGCCCGTCTCGAACAGCTCCGGGGTCTTGTACAGGCAGCCCTGCAAGGTGCAAGGCTGCTGCGTCATAACACTACTATGTTAGGTAATCTATTTCCACTAACATAATTAACTATTCATCAAATCAAGAAGACCCATCTAAGATACTGTACAGACTTGTGACAGAGGACCACTAGGAGAAACCAGAGGCAAGTACAATGCCAATAGCCTATTGTTCTGCAAATGTGTTAATCCTTTAGTACACTAGGAGGCAGCATGGCCAGTACAGTATTGCACACAACTGGCTTCACTTTCCATTTCAAACTGTTTTTCCTTTATTTTTTTTCATTCTTGCAAACAACAAATATTTTATCACACCTTAATTTTAGACCAATTAACTTGAAACTTTAGAGGCTTATTTCTTGGTTTGCTATGTCTAGAAACTTTTCTGTTTTGATATTTTGAAGGATTTTATGGGATTAAAGGTCAAACTACTCTAAGACATACATTTTGAGCTCCTGTTTGGTCATATTTAAACCAATTAAGATGTAAATTTGTACAATTATTTTTTACTACACAATACAGTAGAACCCACACAATGAGTTTCATAAAAATACTAACATTTGTGCATTGTAGTTATACAGTTTATAGAGGTATAAAGGATAAAAGAAAAAATACATTTGGAGAAGAGATCTTGCATTAGCTTGTAACTGTCCCCTTTTCTTCACTTCTTTTTCTTTTCTCACCAATGAAGGATGGCTGGAATCAAAAGCAAATACTGTACATTAAAGTGCTGTACATACATTCTCCCTTCATTCATATTTCTGTAATGGAAAGATGCCCAAGCTCTCATATAACTCTACTTCTCCAAATTTAAAACAATGTAACAGGAAACAAAAGGGAAAATAAAACTGAAAACAGTGTTAAATAAATTCAATATACTTTTGACAAATACAGTTTTTTAAGATCCTTATTTACACCATTTACATAAATCCCCAAGTAGAGTATCATATTGGCATTTCTAATTTTCATGAAAAACAAGTGTAATGATTGAGATTACAAAAATGGCTGAAGTATGCACAATAAAAATATAAATTCAATCTATTGATATCTCAGATGTTTTGTAACAGAGGTTTTGCATTTAATTTTCTCCAAAATTATGTTTTTAATAAATAAACAAAACTGAATATCTGCTAATGACCACTCCATGGGATGGCACACATCACAGAACCAATTACCATATGCTGACAAGAACATACTGGTAAAGAGAAGACCAATTTAAGAAATAACCAGAAACCAAGTTAGTGTTTTAATGATACAATGGGCACAACGAGCACACTATGTGACTGCCTAAACTAATGTAATTTTTTCTCTCCATGCTTTTGACAAAAGGGAACTAGAAAAACTTAGAAGGAATAAATGGTGGAATTATATATGGCTGGGAGGAGGGGATGAAAACCAGAGGTGAGTTTATAAAGTTGGGGTGAGGATATAAGGGCATTAAGCAGCGTGTATAGTGAGGAGACAAAACAGTAGAACCACTAATGTGAAGAGATGGTTTGGAGACAAAACATGGGAGCAGTATGAGGACACGAGATTACAAAGGAGTGCATGTTTTTGATGTGAAGTCATTAGGAAACTGAGGAGTGAGTAGAATCAGTTTGAGGATCTAAGAACATGGAGACTGTATTACCCATCCATCCTTCCCAGAGTATGGGTTACTGGTATGAATGGCAATTTTTTTCTCTCCACTTTCAATACTGAGGAGCTGATGAAAACTTCCCTCAATTAACAGATTGCTTATAAATTACATCCCATTTAGTGACAAAACCTAATGACAATACTTTAAATATAACTCAAAGCCACTTATTTGACTGAAAAAAAGAAAAAGCAAATATCAAGCGAAAGAACGGAGGTAAAAGCAAAAAGGATAAAGAATGAGGATTTTTTGTTTAATCTGAGAAAAGTATATAAAAAAAAACCTAAGTAGTATAGTACTAAGGCAAGAATTTACAAAATAAACGACCTGGTGATGGTAATACTTCCACGGGTGACTAAAGCCAACTGCTAAACCAGGGAAATACTGAGGGACAAATAGTTAGATTAACACTCACAGCAAACAAACATTTCATATCCAGTTAAACCAAGACACTCAACACCTGAGGAAAATGGGGAAAACACTCAAAAGTTTTTCATCTAATAATTTTCATATTTCATTAATTTAATGACGGTAACATACTCAAAGTTATCCATGACAACGTGCCTCAGTGCCTTCACTGTATACAAAAATATATTCTTATAACTGGAGGAGAACTTCTTAAGTGTTGTAGAGGCAGAGATAGAAAAGCTCTTACAAGAGGACCTTTTCTCCAAAAGTTAAGAGGAAATGACAAGGAAATACATGCCAGTTATCTTATCTGAAAATGAATGACCTTAAATTTGGAAGTGTCTATATGTGTAAAAACTTACATTATTCAACTCACATCAGCCACTGAAACAAAGATAATTTACTGGAAATTGGAGAAGTACAATATCTATAAATATTATATATATATACAGTATGTAGATCTATTAAACATTCAGAGTAGATATACCTACTTCACTGACAAAACTTTTTCTACACTTACTGATTTTAACCATCATTAACACTAAAGAAACTCATTTACTGTATAAGTGCTACCATATTCTTACAAGTCCTTAAATTTAGCATATGGTCACCACAGGAAAAATGGACAGTAGGCCAGGAGTCCTAACAATTCCTTTCTTGAATGATCTTCCTAGTTGGGCATGTTTCTTGTATCACAAAAGATGGCCAGAAGGCCGGGAACTCACCGACATAAATTTACCAATTAATGATGTGAGGCAGCAATCTATGCAGCCTTCTCTTATGATGTACGGCACATTAAACCAAAGAAGCTCATCCATGAACAGATGTGTCAAATATCTCAACCTACTGCACACATACTTTGGTTTTGATATTATACATCCATTACTTACAGTTGCCGAGGTACTTCACTAAAATATAAATCGAATAAAAAGTAAACACTGTGCACCTGTTCAGGTGGAAATGATAGGAGGCCAACAGCTAGAGACTGAATTCATCCAAATATATCACAGAAAAAAAAAAAAAAAAAAAAACACTAATATTACAGATAACCATTGATACTTAATTATCAAGTTTTCATGTGCCTGTTTATGAACAATGTTACCTGGAATCTTCAGATGTATGTAATAAGTTTATATTCATTTGATACTTTACTGTTTGCCTACAGAAGAAAACACATCTTATGTAACTGAGACAAACCATGGCTTACATGTTACTGATACAGCAAGCAACCTTAGCAAGGGAGTTCAACACACAGTGACACAACACTGGTACACTTACCATAAGCAAGTTGTTTGGAAAATAGCAAAAAGCACATTTTTAACAAACCATTAACAGTTGACGAGCAGTAATAGGGCTCGAAAATTTTCATAAATAACTTTGTTAATGTTGTAATACTAATACATTGTACACATCACATAGTAATAAGTATTGTGATAACATCTATCACAAAGCCAAAAAGTGAAAAGAAGTCTTTTATTCACTTAGCAGAATTTACCAGTTTTCAAAACAGAAAAGACTCAACTTTAAAATTTTACTAAAAATAATAATACATAAGCCCCTTAATATAATTTTAACTATAAATATTGGATAGAACTTAAAACCTGAACATGAAGTCCTCAGGCAACATTATAAAATTTCAGCTATCATATAAAAGACTCATCCTATTGTTTACTTCACCAGCATCTGACGCTGGACACCATTACACTGTAACTAAAACTTTTATAACTGTGTTGAGTTACCTATGTAAATCTATCTTCAGAATCTCTCAGTATTCAATATATGCCATTACCAGTTTAACAATTTCTCATTGTCAAAAGCGAAACTGGTTCCTCAAAGCAAGTAAACAAACATGCTCCATTTTACTTGATTAAAACCAAATTATATAAAACTAAATGAATGAAAAACAATAATGAAAATAGTTTAAAGAGGTGAAGAAAATAATATAAAACAAATACTGTCTAAACAATTCAAGATTAGTTCCTACAAAGCATGTACAGTATCAAACACAACTTAAAAGCAGGAAACACCTCATTGAATGAAGAACAGTAGGAAGTGGTCAAAAAGTACAGATACACTTTGAGAATCTGAAAAAGGTGTGAATGCCTCATGTTACTTAAGAATCTATGTAATTTCTGCATTACTAATAACTTAAATAAAACCAATACAAAACAAAGAGAAAGTCCTCTTCCAACCCCTACTAACTGCCTTGTTTGGTAATAAAAGCCTTTTGACCATCTTCCTTCAAGCATTACAGTTATTTTTCATAATCAAATTATAAGACTAAAGTGAAATTTGTGAATCAAAATTTTGGAGTTCAAACAAAAGTGAAGGTGTGAACATGAAATATGACTTACCATCTGGGATTCAGGGCATTCAAATACCTCACCAAAATTTGCTCTCTTAACATCACAAATGAACTTTCAGCACTCACACCAATTCTTAGGAAAAAATATTAATTTTCATCATCAGTTGGAACTTTTATAAGTAGAAAGTAGACACAGTATATGATATACCATTAGCCCGACTATAAATACAGTACAGTATGATGAAGTTCCCAATGTGATCAATAATGTTGCATGCAAATGGGCTTATCTTTACAAACAATTTGAAGTATATATAATTTTTTTACATTTTCAGTCTACAGTTATTTGAATTTACTGATGTCTATTTACCAACAAAATAAAATAAAAATTCTCCATTTACTTAAATCATTATCCTAGGTAGTAAAATAACTCTCCTAGATTCAGTGAAAGTTTTTTATTTAAACAAAAACCCAATTCTACTTAATAATGAGTATCATCTGAAGCAAACAAAGATATTTTTTTTTGCCCTCTTAAACAATTAAAAGGAATTCCCCAATTACGAACTCTTCTTATCCCCATTAGTGTGGTGAACGAGGGCTGGAGTGTCTGCAGGTCGAGTAAAATTCTTCCCTGGAACAAACTCAGCAGCGTAAGGATTCAAATTACTCTGAAATAAGACGAAGAAATTCATATTATCCTTGAGAAAGATGAAATCAAACTAATATGAATATGGTAAACAGTATGATTAACTGGAGTAATGTCTTGATAAAGCCAATGAAAAAGTAAAAGAGTAACTACAGTATAGTCTGGATTTACGTGGTTTTTGTTTACGCGTTTGGTCATTTACGCGGCACCTTGCCAGAATGAAATGTTTTAATTATGCGGTAACTTTCATCATTTATGCGGGTGAAGTATAATTTGTTTATTTACTGAAGATATTTGTTTTTAGCTCACAAAATTCATAGAAATTACCCAGCCAGAATATAATTTACATTGCTGGAATTCTTATAAGATGGTGATTAATTAAAATATAAACACCATAAAATTTGCATTAGACATACAAATTTTAGATGTAATTTAAGAATTTTATTTGAAAGAGCAAAAATTTTATCTTTTGTGCAAAATATATGACGTTTATATTCAAATTATTGGCAGTCTTGCAAGGAATCCAGCAATGTCAATTATATTATCCTAACTTTAGTCTGAGGTATTATTTATTATTAAACATGTATGCCTAGTGTTTTTCCCAAACATTTCTCTGGTAGGGAGGGAAGAGCCAGCGAGCGTGGGAAGAGGGAGGGGGGGAGTTGAGTCCATTATTTGAATGGACATTAACCGGCGACTGTATTTCTCTTAAATATTAATTGTGTGTGCATACCATCATAAAATTAAAATGCTATTTTTACTACAACGTAGGTATTGTGTTGGAAAAAATGGAGTTTGGGGGTCGGCCCAATCTCTACAGTCGACCCTCGTTAATTCAGACTAATAGGGGGGGGGGAAAGGTGTCCGTTTTAGCCGATTGTCCGAATTAACCGATTTAGGGGTTAATATTGCATTATATTTCAAAGTCATTGTTTTCGTCACGATTTTATCCCACTTTCCACTGTAATACGTACGTCATTTCAGCAAAAATATTACATTTCCGTGAATGCATTATATCAAGCACAGTATGAATAGAATACCATTGTAATATAACAGTATTTTAACCAAAAACTATTAAAAAATGAGTAACTTCTCTTGAACATCGGAAGGTTAGGTAAAATCTTTTGTTTTCGTCATGTATTTTATCCTATTTTACATTAAAATACATCACGTTTCAGCAAAACTACCAATTATTTCCGAGAATATATTCATTCAGGCGCAGTTTAGGTAAAATATACGTGTGATGTAACAGTTTTTTAACTGAAAACGATTCGAAAAACACGTACCCTCTAGCCCTGTTCAAGGAGAGGACTGGGAGAAGCTGTTTGGTGCTGCAGACGATGACAAGGAAAATGATTTGGATGGATTTTAATAAAAATATTCAGAAATATGGTATCGTAGTATTTATTCAAGTCAATTAGGATAAAATATTATTGTAATACAACAGTTTTTTAACTGAAAACCAATCGAAAAGCGATTACGGTAACATCTTTTGAACGAAAGAAAGCGAAAGTCATTGTTTTCGTCACGATTTTATCCCACTTTCCACTGTAATAGGTACGTCATTTCAGCAAAAATATTACATTTCCGTGAATGCATTATATCAAGCACAGTATGAATAGAATACCATTGTAATATAACATTATTTTAACCCAAAACTATTAAAAAAAACGAGTAACTTCTCTTGGACATGGGAAGGTTAGGTAAAATCTTTTGTTTTCGTCATGTACTTTATCGTATTTTACATTAAAATACATCACGTTTCAGCAAAACTACTATTCATTTCCGAGAATATATTCATTCAGGCACAGTTAAGGTAAAATATACATGTGATGTAACAGTTTTTTAACTGAAAACAATTCGAAAAACAAGTGTACCGTCTAGCTGATACTCAACAGCTGGTGGTGCGTCATGCGTCGTTGTAAACAATATGAGGTTGAAGTAGATTACCGGGTATTATATTAAGTGTGAAATATCAAAAAGGTTTTTATTACCGGTATTTTTTGTAGATCAGTGAGAACTGTGATACCGTATATGATATGATAAGTTAGCCTGTGCTAAGAACTTCAACATAGACTACTGAAAGCATGTTGAAAGGTAATTTAGCCTTTTCTAAGTTGGTGAGCTTCATTTGCTGAAGGAACTGCACAACTTTTCATTACTAATTGGTACATATTTTACGTTTCCATTGTTTACTGGCAGTAAATGGTAAATATTTTTCATGTCTGAAGCTAAAAGTTGCATCCCCCCCCCCACACTAGTGGTGGAGATGTTACATTTAACCAAAAAGACGCTGGTGTTTTATCCCAGCAGTGGGTGGACCAGCATTTTAGCTTAAGGTCCGCATAGGTAATATTCCTACAAATCTTAAAAAAAAAAAAAGAAAGAAAAAAAAAAAAAAAATTCGTTTAGATTTTGTCCAAATTATCCGAAATCCGGATTAAAGGGGTCCGAATTAACGAGGGTCGACTGTATTTCAATTAATCCCATATGTTCCGTTATTTCATTTACACGTTTCTCGTTTTACGCGGACCTCCACGGGTTCAATTGACCAAGTAAATACAGACTATACTGTATATGACATGCGTAGGCATTTGCCTCCCCATAGAGTATGTAACTCTGGATGCTCTAATTCCCAAAATCAAACTTATATGATCATGTCTATTATCTTCATTTTGGTACTTGGGAAGACTAATTCCTCTGCCAAGTTTCAAGACATCCACCAATGACTGAGTTACAGTGTCCACATGAATAGTAAAGACAGTTGAGGGCAGTTCAAAATATCCCACAAATGGGTTTCAGCATATAAATGAAACTGAGATATGAATGTAAATATTTAGCATTAAGAGAATCGTTTAGGAAAAAAAATCACTAAAAACTGAAAAAAAGGAAACATTCCTGAAAAATGGTCTTGCCCTGGGCTATCTCAAATGGCAGTATTTTTATACGTATATTTATATAATTTTCGCAATAAAATCGAGGTTCTTTTCCCCTCGTATCTCCCACACGGCCATAGGTACACCACCTGTTGATAGAAATCATTAGAAAACTGTATTTAAAAAAAAAAAAAAACATACTACTGTACATTCACTGAAAACTCTTCACCTAGTGAGGCCTAGGTGAGTCAATACTGTCTAAACATTGAATGATGGGAAGGAACGCTCAGCTGTTGCTCACTCTCTCTGACTGCTTTCCTGCCATTCATCACCATATTTTCTAGACATCATGAGCACTTCAGCAGTTCAAAGAATACGAAGACAACTCACTAACACTCGAAAAAAGCCAGAACAAGCACGAAAAGAGGCAACTCTGAAACCCTCACAGATTTGAGATAATACCTACTGGTAGAAGGTGGGGAACCAAGAGTCCCTGTGAGAAAAAAAATAAATGGCACTTTTCTCTAAATAATTTTTTTTTCACATTTAAAATTCTGATTCACAGTCATTTAAGAGCTTTTAGATTTTTTTCCCAAATTTGGGAAATTTCAAGGCGGGAAAGAAAAAAATTCATTATGCAGAAATGGAGCATTAAACCAAAACGTTTGGGCCCCTTTTAAGAATGGATGTTATATTCCAAGGGTTATGAAAACAAATGTGAATGAATGAGAATTATGGGAGAAATGCAATTTTGAAAATGGGTGTTTTTTGGGGGTGCCAAGGGGGGATAGGATATTATTGTAATCATGTATATATGTCAAGAATAAAATATGAAAATAGAGCAAATACAAAAACACATTCTTCTATACCTTAAGAAAACAGCACACCAGATATAAATAACATAATAAAATAAGTTACTGTACAAGGTCACATGAGAGGAAGAGCACTAAGCTGCACTACTGGATAAGGAAGAGCTGGTAGCCAGAACATCAGAGTATAACAGCAGAAAGTAAAGCATGTTGGACTCCTGTAGATGTTAAAATAACAGAATATACTGAAGGCAACACAGCATACAAAGGCTAGAGGTAACACAGTACAGCAAACCCTTAAACAATGCAGGGGTTAGGTTAATGAAAACCACATGAAGACAAAAAAAATGCGATGTTCAAGAAGAAGAAGAACCCACTCCATAACAGATTTACTATGCACATATGCTCTTTATTGTTCTTATTTTGTAGTTTTATATTATAGTTCCACATTTCTAAACTAGGCTGGCGAGTTGGCCATGTAATTTATAGACAAGGCCTTGGCAAGAACCGGCTCCATAAATACACGTTCACTTATCACCCAAGTTCTTCATTTTCTTTTGTATTTTCTTTTCTTTATTTCTAAGTCACATTAGAGTATTGTAATGAATTTTGTCAACCTTTGAGAGTTTCATTGCAAGTAACAATATACGAGGCAGCTGGGCGCAAGAGACGGCCATGTAGTTTATAGCCAAGGCATTGGCTAGAACCGCCTCCATTGATACACTGGATGAGAAGCCAAGAAACACTCTAAACTACATCAGGAGAAAAATGAGGACTCCCTACTCCACCCAGGTGAGGAACTATGAATTACTAACTTCATCACATGAGGAACAAGAACCACCTCCAACACCCTGTGTGAGCTGGAGGACCTACCCTGACCACGTGATACATCTGCAGCTGTAGTGGGGTAGCAGCTTAGCAGCCAGGTACAACGGCTATCAAGACAGTGGGAAGGACTTTGTTGGCGCCGACATTAGGTCACAAGAATGTCTACTGACCAGCTCCCACAGTACCACTAAAGTTAACCTATATATTGACTCTATGTTTCTTATGTTTTTGCATTGAAAGCTTTTGTCAATCAAGTGACCCACTCCCCTATTTCACCATATGTAACCTATCATCTCTGTTCATTGTACAGTATATTTTCAGCCTTCGGGCTGCCATGTTATCTTAATAAACCGTTAATTATTATTATTATTATTATTATTATTTATTATTATTTCTCACACCATGCTCTTCATTTTTCTTATTTTATAGTTTTATGTTATATTTTCTTTATTTCTAAGCCACATCATTTATATAGTGTAGAATAATTGTTAAAGTCCACTTTCTGAGACACGAGCCAGGAGTCAGCTGTGGCCTGCAAGATGGTAATGCATGTTGCCATTGTTATATGTAATGAAACTATAAAAGTTGTGTAAAAATCATTTCAATATTCTAACATGACCTAGAAATAAAGATAATATAATACAGTATAAAACTATAATATAAGAATTATGAAAAGCATGGGTGTGTATTGTGTGTGGGAAGCCTTTGTGTGGAAGCAGCGGGCAGTTTGTCAAAAGTGCATCTGGTGACTCGGCTGGTTAAGCCTATTTCAGTTTAAATGTGCACCACACAACCATTTGTGCTGTAAGTTTACTTTATCCCCTTTGTCACTGATTGTCAAGTTGATTTCAGCAGAGAATATTTAGGAAAACAATAAAACCATAAAAAAGCAAAAATTATACAAGATGGTAATACAAGTTGCCAATATTACATAAATATAATGGAACTTTAAAAGTTGTGGAAAAATCATTTCAATACACGTACTTTAATGTGACTTTGAAATAAAGAAAATATAATTTAAAACTATAAAATAAGAAATATGAAGAGCATGTGTGTGTGTATTGTCTCTTTAAGATGCAGTGGAACTCCCCCGTGCTACCATAGAGACCCCTCGCGGCCAGTAGTGCAAGTTGTCAGATGCACGTACACAACCTCCCTTGCTCCCCATGCAACCCATTGTGTAATCCGCGGAGGGGCGAGGGCAGCGTTGTTTAAGGGTTTACTGTACACAAAGGCTGGAGGCAACACAGTACACAAGTGATCTGTGTGTGTGTGATACAGCTTGATTACTACATACCGTAGTCCTACCATTGATACTGTATTGCATAATACTGTAACTGATCTTTTCTTTATACAGTGAACCCTCCAAGTTCTGGACTATAAGGGGGGATCACCTGTCCAAAAAAGAAGATTGTCCGTATCTTCTGGCAAATGTACTAAATGTATAAAAAAAAAAAAAAAAAAAAAAAGTATAACATGCCCTTGAAATTCGCAAGGGTTTGGGTCTCAAAATGGCCGCGAATTGCCAAAACAGAGAACATCATTTTGCTGACAGGGGTTGGGGGTTTACATATTTACTCGTGTACTGTACAAAGAAATGTATATTCTCTTTATGTGTTTGCCCTGAGGACAATTATTTTTTTACACACACACACACACATGCACACGTACACACACACACACACACACAAAAATAATAACAGGAAAATCCTCTCACTAATACTCAAACAAAACAAAGCGTATCGAAATGTAGAAAAAATGCGAGTCTACCCTCAAGTCAATTCTAAGCTTTGTTATTAGCCCTTAAGCCCTGGGTTAGGGTGCTGCTGGCAGTACCCCCAACGCGGGGTTAAATCGAGAAAAAAATCAACATTTAAAAAAAAGGGGGGGCGGGGGAATAGGCGGACGTTCTGGCACCTAGGGCCTAAGGGTTAAGGTTGGGTTGTTGTACAGCAATTTTTTCCTCATAAAAATTACTGTCTATACAGCGAATGACATCTGAGTGGCAGCTGGGTTGATACATATGGTAGATCAAACTTACAAAATTTCTTTTGTAGCCATCTAGCCAACCCAACATGAAGGATGTTGGTAATTGTGATGTAATACAGTATACTTTTTCACAATATGTATGTAGGATGGTGTGTGCATGTAAATGAGTAAAACTAAATGAAAGTTACATATATCGACCTGAAAATACGAGTTGAAAAACAACCATGACACCTCACAGCTTGGCCCAGTAGCCTGGTGGTTACAATTATGAGCTAACCTAGCTACAATGACATGATTAATCACGGTTAAGCACTATTGTATCAGTAAACACTATTAATAACAGTAAATCCATTGAAATATGGCAGGGAGTAAGGAGTTACAAATGAAGACAATGCTCAACTAGTGGTCAATCACTCCTATTACCAGGCATACAATCAAAATATGTATGGGAGAAATACATATCTTGTAGTCTAATTTGAAAACAGTGATGGGCCCAGTGATAAACTATATGGATTTACCTATGATAACATAATAAGAAACGTATCATTATTAGAGTGAATGAAATAATATTACCACAAACAACTAATAATTCTGTTTACGTTTCCCACCTCGGGCACCTGTGTCCCGTGCACTGACATCTTAGTTATAAGGGACTTAGATGATCTTTGGCCTGTTTTGAGAATGCTTCTTAACCCCCGGAACCCCCCCAAATTTTGTCAGAATCTTCCAAAATCCGGATTTACAGGGTCCAAATCGTTGAGGGTTCACTGTTTATGAAGTAAGAACCTGATTTACATTATTCTCTTTGGCATCCAAAAAATTAAAAGTCTTGGCAAAAACTTCATTCCTGAACAGAAAAAAAAAACTTACCTTAGCAGCTACACTCTCGTTCACTCCCATCTTCTGCATACTTGTGGCTAAACTTGCCGTGGCATTGTTTCTCATTCTGTAAAATAAAAATAGACGTGAAAAAAACAAAATTTATACTCCACTTACAGTACTTGTAGGAGTGTAGTGGTAAAACTAACTGATGATTTGTAGATTAAGGGAACAAGGTGAAAATGCAGCATCACCCATGAAATGGCCATGAAAAGTGATAACTGGAGAAGTAAAGTGATTTCTTTAAATGAAGCACATAGCAAGAGTACCTCAGTGATGATTATCCACAAAACAATTCACAGATGGAGGAGGAGATTAAAAGAAAATCAATATAAGGTGAAAGAAGAACAGAGGTTATGAAAGAGAGAGAACCGAAGCTGGGGAGGAATGAAGGGACACCCATAATAGGGAGTAGTGAGAAGAATATCGGAGTGGGAAGAATAGGGTTAGACATTAGGAAAAGTAGAAACTGAGGGAGTATTCGTGTGACAACACTTTGGATGAGCCAAATCAAGTCAACCTAAGACTAATATAGTGATATCCCCGTTAGCTGGAACAATTGGTGCAGAGCACTTCCGGGGTTGAGAGATTTCCAGGTAACAAGACGACTTTCTCAAACCTGGAAAAATTCCTTATCCCTGGAACCTTTTCCGGTACTGGGAAAAGTTTCCGCTGTCTAAACTAGACCTCTTGCACAGACGCACACTAGCCCACTTCCCCAGAATGTTTCTGGGTGCTGGAGATGTTTTCCTCAAGTCTAAACTACAGGAGTCCATAAATACAGTTCTAATTAAGTTAGAAACTTCATTTCTTTATTATAATAATCCAGAATAGCTTATCTAAAATTTGGTTAAATAAATATATTCAAAAATTAAAAATCTATAGGACATGGTCATGAATGGAGCTGTGTGTTACAGCAAAGACTGTTATTTTCCACTCCCAAGGAACTGTGGGAAATTAGTGGGTCTTGTGTACCTGACCTGACCTGATGCAATGTCAGGTCACCCTTTCTTGGGCGAAGGATTAGTGGATCTCATGACCTGAAGATGTATTGAATAAACACAAAACCTAAAATATTTTTCGAGAGATTGTGGTAAGTACAAATGAGCAAAGTTGTATCCCTTCAACATTACGTTACATAATATTTTAAAATATGGAATGAGAAAGCAGAAAGGTGTGAGTAGTTAGAGAGATGGAGTGGAAATGAGTGTTGCCACGCGCTCCTCAAGTGCTGATATTTAACTTGATACCATGCAGTCACACACACACACACACACAGAAGTGACATACAATAAGACCCTCACTCCTCATGCTTGCTGTCTTAATTCCCTTGCTGGGGGTGTGTGAATGGTGTTGGAATGTGTGTGTGTGTGTGTGTGTGTGTGTGTGTTGGGGAGTGTGTGTGTGTGGTGTTGGAAGGTGTGTGTGTGTGTGTGGTTGTTGGAAGGTGTGTGTGTGTGTGTGTGGTTGTTGGAAGGTGTGTGAGTGTGTGTGGTTGTTGGAAGGTGTGTGTGTGTGGTTGTTGGAAGGTGTGTGTGTGTGTGTGTGTGGTTGTTGGAGGGTGTGTGGTTGTTGGAGGGTGTGTGGTTGTTGGAAGGTGTGTGTGTGTGTGTGTTGGGGGTGTGTGTGTGGTTGGAGGGTGCATATGTGGTTGTTGGAGGGGTGCATATGTGGTTTGTTGGAGGGTAATGTGTGTGTGGTTGTTGGAATGTGTGTGTGTGGTTGCTGGAGGGTGTGTGGTTGTTGGAGGGTGTGTGTGTGTGTGTGGTTGTTGGAGGGTGTGTGTGGTTGTTGGAGGGTGTGTGTGGTTGTTAGGTGTGTGTGTGGTTGTTGGAGGTGTGTGTGTGTGGTTGTTGATGGAGGGTGTGTGTGGGGTGGTTGTTGGAGGGTGTGTGTGTGTGTGTGTGGTTGTTGGAGGGTGTGTGTGTGGTTGTTGGAGGGTGTGGTTGTGGTTGTTGGAAGGTGTGTGGGTGGGTGGTTGCTGGAGGGTGTGTGTGGGTGGGTGGTTGTTGGAGGGTGTGGGTGGGTGGTAGTTGGAGGGTGTGGGTGGGTGGTTGTTGGAGGTGTGTGTGGGTGGGTGGTTGTTGGAGGGGTGTGTGTGGGTGGGTGGTTGTTGGAGGGTGTGTGTGGGTGGGTGGTTGTTGGAGGGTGTGTGGGTGGGTGAAGTTTGTTGGAGGGGTGTGTGTGTGTGTGGTTGTTGGAGGGTGTGTGTGTGTGGTTGTTGGAGGTGTGTGGTTGTGGTTGTTGGAAGGGTGTGTGTGGGTGGTGGTTGCTGGAGGGTGTGTGGGTGGGTGGTTGTTGGAGGGTGTGGGTGGGTGGTAGTTGGAGGGTGTGTGTGTGGGTGGGTGGTTGCTGGAGGGTGTGTGTGGGTGGGTGGTTGTTGGAGGTGTGTGGGTGGGTGGTTGTTGGAGGGTGTGTGGGTGGGTGGTTGTTGGAGGGTATGTGTGTGGGTGGGTGGTTGTTGGAGGGTATGTGTGGGTGGGTGGGTGGTTGTTGGAGGGTGTGTGTGGGTGGGTGGGTGGTTGTTGGAGGTGTGGGTGGGTGGGTGGTTGTTGGAGGGTGTGGGTGGGTGGGTGGTTGTTGGAGGGTGTGTGGGTGGGTGCTTGTTGGAGGGTGTGTGTGGGTGGGTGGTTGGAGGGGTGTGTGTGTATGGTTGTTGGAGGTGGCTGTGTGGGTGGGTGGTTGTTGGAGGATGTGTGGTGGGTTGTTGGAGATAATGTGGGTGGGTGGTTGTTGGAGGGTGTGTGGGTGGGTGGTTGTTGGAGGGTGTGGGTGGGTGGTTGTTGGAGGTGTGTGGGTGGGTGGTTGTTGGAGGGTGTGTGTGTTGTGAAAGGGAAAGTTTGTTGGAGGGTGTGTGTGGTTGTTGGAGGGTGTGTGTGTTGTGGTTGTTGGAGGGTGGTGTGTGTTGTGGTTGTTGGAGGGTGTGTGTGGTTGTTGGAGGTGGTGTGTTGTGGTTGTTGGAGGATGTGTGTGGGTGGGTGGTTGTTGGAGGATGTGTGTGTGGGTGGGTGGTTGTTGGAGGGTGTGTGTGGGTGGGTGGTTGTTGGAGGGTGTGTGGGGTGGGTGGTTGTTGGAGGGTGTGTGGGTGGGTGGTTGTTGGAGGGTGTGTGGTTGTTGGAGGTGTGTGGGTGGGTGGTTGTTGGAGGGTGTGTGTGTGGGTGGGTGCTTGTTGGAGGGTGTGTGTGGGTGGTGGTTGTTGGAGGGTGTGTGGGTGGGTGGTTGTTGGAGGTGTGTGGTTGTGGTTGTTGGAGGTGTGTGGGTGGGTGGTTGCTGGAGGAGGTGTGTGTGGTGGGTGTGGTTGTTGGAGGGTGTGGGTGGGTGGTAGTTGGAGGGTGTGTGTGGGTGGGTGGTTGTTGGAGGGGTGTGTGTGGGTGGGTGGTTGTTGGAGGGTGTGTGTGTGTGGGTGGGTGGTTGTTGGAGGGTGTGTGTGGGTGGAGTGGTTGTTGGAGGTGTGTGTGGGTGGGTGGTTGTTGGAGGGTGTGTGGGTGGGTGCTTGTTGGAGGGTGTGTGTGGGTGGGTGGTTGTTGGAGGGTGTGTGTGGGTGGGTGGTTGTTGGAGGGTGTGTGTGGGTGGGTTGTTGTTGGAGGGTGTGTGTGGGTGGGTGGTTGTTGGAGGGTGTGTGTGGGTGGGTGGTTGTTGGAGGGTGTGTGGGTGGGTGGTTGTTGGAGGGTGTGTGTGGGTGGGTGGTTGTTGGAGGGTGTGTGTGGGTGGGTGGTTGTTGGAGGGCTGTGGGTGGGTGGTTGTTGGAGGGTGTGTGTGGGTGGGTGGTTGTTGGAGGGTGTGTGTAGGTGGGTGGTGTTGGAGAATTGTATGTATTTGTGGATTTGTTGGAGGTGTGTGTGGTTGTTGGAGGGCGTGTGTGGGTGGGTGGTTGTTGGAGGGTGTGTGTGGGTGGGTGGTTGTTGGAGGGTGTGTGTGGGTGGGTGGTTGTTGGAGGGTGTGTGTGGGTGGGTGGTTGTTGGAGGGTGTGGGTGGGTGGGTGGTTGTTGGAGGGTGTGTGGGTGGGTGGGTGTGGTTGTTGGAGGTGTGTGTGTGGGTGGGTGGGTGGTTGTTGGAGGGTGTGGGTGGGTGGGTGGTTGTTGGAGGGTGTGTGTGGGTAGTGGTTGTTGGAGGGTGTGTGGGTGGGTGGTTGTTGGAGGGTGTGTGTGGGTGGGTGAGTGTTGGAGGGTGTGTGTGTGTGAGGTTGGAGGGTGTGTGTGTTAGGTGGTGGTTGTTGGAGGGTGTGGTGGGTGGGTGTTGGTTGTTGGAGGTGTGTGTGTGTGGGTTGGTGGTTGTTGGAGGGTGTGTGTGTGTGAGTGGTTGTTGGAAGGGTGTGTGGGTGGGTGGTTGTTGGAGGGTGTGTGTTGTGGGTTGGTATTGGTTGTTGGGGGGTGTGTGTGGGTGGGTGGTTGTTGGAGGTGTGTGGGTGGGTGGTTGTTGGAGGGTGTGTGTGGGTGGGTGGTTGTTGGAGGTGTGTGTGTGGGTGGTTGTTGGAGGGTGTGTGGGTGGTTTGTTGGAGGGTGTGTGTTGTGGTTTGTTGGAGGTGTGTGTGGTTGTTGGAGGTGTGTGTGTTGTGGTTGTTGGAGGTGTGTGTATGTGGTTGTTGGAGGTGTGTGTAGTTGTTGGAGGTGTGTATGTTGTGGTTGTTGGAGGAGATGTGTGTAGGTAGGTGGTTTTTTGGGAGTTGTTGTGTTGGTGTTGGTTGTTGGAGGTGTGTGTGGGTAGGTGGGTGGTTGTTGGGGGGTGTGTGTGTGGGTGTGTGGTTGTTGGAGGTGTGTGGTTGTGTGGTTGTTGTTGGAGGGTGTGTGTGGGTGGGTGGTTTGTTGGAGGTGTGTGTGGGTTGGTGTTTGTTGGAGGTGTGTGTGGGTGGGTGGTTGTTTGGAGGGTGTGTGGGTGGGTGGTTGTTGGAGGGTGTGTGGTTGTGGTTGTTGGGAGTGTGTGGGTGGGTGGTTGCTGGAGGAGTGTGTGGTGGGTGGTTGTTGGGGGTGTGTGTGGGTTGGTTGTTGGAAGGTGTGTAGGGTGGGTTTGTTTGGGGGAGTTGTGTGTGGGTGGTTTTGTTGGAGGTGTGTGTGGGTGGTTGTTGGAGGT